ATATTCATTAATTTATTTATTTATTTTTGCACTTTATTGAATCATTTTTTATGGATTATTTATTTATCACTTTGGATGTGATATGAATTTTGCACAGTTAATTTTTTTCACAAGGAGTACGTAATGTTATTCACAAATATATGAGTATGTTATGAAATATTCATTCACATTTATGTCACATTTGTCATTAATATACACTATTTGGTATTAATTGATTTGATCAATTATTCTAAGTTGATCATTTATTTATCACTGATTAATTATTAATACCAATAATGGTTACTAGCGCTGCATATTTATTTACTTGCTAAACACAGAAACATGGCTCTTAACACCTTCCCCAATATTATTAATAAACTGATTAAACAATATGGGGCATAGCACAGAACCCTGGGGCGCGCCACTCTCGACCTTAGACCAATGTGAAAAAGAGCCACTTATCAATACTCTCTGGACACATTCCTGTAGCCACAGGTCAGGTGCAAAACCCAATCAGGGCCCAGTACTCTGTAAGAGCCATGATTGGGCAAAGTCATGATGACTTTGCCCAATCATGGCTCACCTGCCAGATGCTGTACAACTGTAAACAGTTGGGCAAAGCTATCTGTCACTGCTAGCTCTGCCCAATTGTTTATATGTTGCCGGCATGGGTCAAAATGCCACTCTGCGGTGGGTGTTTGTCGCAAGCAGACGGGATGGAGGTTGTCATTTTTTAAAATTATTATGATTTCTATTTATTTTTTATTGTTTTATTTTTACATCGAGTTGTCATCGCTGTGGATGATGCTGGACGTTGTGATTGACGCTGGATTATGTCGGGGGATCAATTTTCAGGTTTAAAAAAAAAAAAGACTTGTCAAAATCTTGTCTTTTGTTTTTCAAATAAAGGATTTTTTCAAAAGTCTGGTGTTTTTATTTACAATTTGATTGCAATTTTTTTTGTCGCATGGTTTTTGGGCAAATGTTTATCAAACCAGTATTTATAAACTAAATGAAAATTAAGTGCACAGAAACATCATAGAATACCCGATTTTTTGGTAAAATAGGAAAAATGGGGTCACGTTGGGTAAATGGATACCAAACATGTCAAGCCTTAAAATTGCGTTCACACGAGAAGCCGCAAAAAACGTCAATACCCAAATGTTCCTAGGGAACATTTTAAACACTTTTACTGCTCATCAGTTTAGTGTTAACAGTGATTTATGGCCCTAGAATTGTTGCTCTCACTCCAATGTTCACGGCGATATGTAACATGTGTAGCGCAATTGTCACTTTTGCACGTAGGCGCACCAACATGTGTTTGTGTGTGCATCTGCGTGCACGTGGGGGGGCGGAGACTTTAAAAATGTTTTTTTTGCATTTTTTTATTTTTCTTATATGTTACTTGAATTTTTTCAATTTTTAAACACTTTTTTTTCTACACTAACCTTATTGCTATCACATAGGGGGCTAACAAGCACCCTATGTAATAGCAGATGGGGTGTGACAAGTCCTCTTTATGGAAACATCAGCGGTCATTCAGACCCCTAATGTCACCTAGGAACCCCAAAGAAGCAGAGAACTGCTTCCCCAGCTTCTTCTCCTGGCTCTAAGAGCCGGAGACTGTAACTAATGACACCGGAATTGATGTAATACACATCACTTCCGGGTCCAGTAATAATCGGAGGAGAGAATAGCAGTTGGAAGCGGCTGAATCTCTCTCCGATCATTGCGGGGAGACCCGCCAAGCCAGTCCCGGGCACCGCACGGGGGTAGCGGAGCCCGGGGGAAACCGGGTCCTGGCGGGGGAGGGGGGCGGTATGAATTTAAGGGCAGTGTACAGACGCTGGATTGGATCGCTTGTACATTAACAGCCATCGCTGGCTATTAAAAAGGATAGACGTATTGCGGCCCGGAAGTGGTTAAAGGGGTACCCTGATGTGAATAAGCACCCTCCCTGTGCCGAGGGCATGTGGCCTGGTATTGCGGGGGGGGGGGGCGCTTGCTCGTCCCCCCCTTTTCCTGCCCTGCTAGGCCTGTGCTCGACTCAAGGGTCTTTTTTCCCGCCATTTAGGGGGCTGGTGTGACTTTAAGGGGGAACCCCACACACTTTTGTTTTTTGTTTTTTACATGGGGTCCCTCCTAAAATTCCTACCAGGCCTTAAGGGTCTGGTATTGTTTGGGAGGGGGAACTACACACTTTTTTTTTCTTTTTAAATGTAATTTTTTTCAGTTTTGCTGCAGCAGGTTTTATACATTGTACAAATGTATCACTTTACACGCAGTTTAACGGGAGCCCCCAGGCATGATATTTAAAGGAATTTTTCATTTTTATTGTTATTGTTTCACTTTAAGTGATGTTAAAATCACTGTTCCTTGAAAAAATTTATTTTTTAAAAGTGTCATTGATACATGTGCCCCAGGGCAGTACCCAAATCCCTGTACCCTTTTTAAGGCCATTAACTTGCATATATGCCTTCAAAATGGGATAAATTGATTTTCAAAGTTCTACCCCCATAGATTTGCATTGAGTTTGAGTTTGAATTCGAACTTTTCCCATTTACGAAAGTTTGAATTCGAACTTAACAGGGGGGTGTTCGGCTCATCACTAATCTCTACTCACCTCTTCGTAGAATGTTAGTAGGTTGGTCTGACAAAAACAGTCCTTCCTAAAGCTGCTCTATACTACAAAATAATTTTTTGTAGTAAAAACAAAATGAAACAAATAATAATAATAATAATAATAGCCAGAAAAGAATTGCAAACTGTGAGGATTTTAGTGATTGTAGTGTAGTGAAAAAATGGCCAATTTCATTGAAAGGGTTAAGTACTCCCTTAGATTGAATGTCAGTAAAGTACCCATTTACACTGATGGTCAGTGTAGCACCCCCTTACATTAGTAGAGAACGTAATGCACCCTTACATTAGTGTTCATTGAGTGTAAAGAATGGGGGGTGCACTTCCAGCAGGCATGGGGTAACAGCAGGATAGGGCATATAGTGAGAGTGAAGGGAAGTATGCACAGACTTGGTGAGAGAAGTGGTATGGGTGCAGTGGTGGTAGTGAAATGGGGGGGAGGGGGTGTGCAGGTGCAGTGTTTATTGGGAAAACTTGTGCAGGCATGAGCTAAGAGATGGGCCAACAGATGAGAGGAGGGGTAAAGGGTAGGGTGGTAAAGGGGGTGCCAGTTTGATAGTGAAAGCAGGGTGGCAGTGTGCAGATAGGAATGGGTGGGCTTTACATGCAGACATTGTGTAAGAGTTTGAGGGGTTCTACACATGTACTGGTAAAAACTGGAGAAAGGGCATGCAGACATGGAGTGAGAATATATATATAGGTGCAATGGTAAGCGAAGGAGAATCCTGCAGGTGCGCTGCTGAGAGTGGGGCTAAGCATGCACAGGTGCAGTGCTGAGAGGTGGGCTCTAGGTGCAGTGGTGAGTGGTGGGGTACAGGTGCAGTGATGGGAAAGGGAGTGCGGACGCGTGGGTAGTGAAAGAAAATGAGAATGAGGTGTGATGCAGGGATGTGTTGTGTGATAATGAGGGGAGCTGGATAACATTTCAGGAGCAAGTCCAGCAAGTACAAATACAGCAAGTCCAGTTGCCTTGACTTATTTTTTACAGATATACCATGACCTGGATGAATGAGAACCTTCACAGACATATTTCAGGAGGGGGGTTTCAGTATTAGTGGAGGGGGGAAAACTGGCTGACATTGCAGGAGGGGGGTGGGTGATAGTGGGGAGGGGGGCTGGCTGATATATTCAGGCTGGCTGGCTGTAATATCTGTCAGGGAAGGAAGGGTTGTGTCCAGGAATCTACATCACTGCCACTGTTCAACTGGATAAAATATTAATCAAATGACCCTCCAGTCAGGATGTCCAGTGTAATAGGTTTTCTTTAACTCTTTTCTTTAACTTTGCTATTAGGATCTGCAGCATTACAAGGATCTGCAGCATTACAAGGGATTTGGATAATAGCAAATCCCTTGTAATCCTGCAGTAGAGCCAATGACTCCAAGACTAGTCATAATGGAGAATTTTTGATTGGTCGGTTTCCAGTCTTATACCCCACTCTCGGGGAAAGCAAACTATGATTCTGATGAAGGGGGCTTGCCTCTGAAATGCGTAAATCTTGGCTGACTGAGTTCGGTGGACGGTGATGTGACCAGAGGCTACCGTGTTACATAGACGGGGCGATACCATGTTGGGTTAACAGACAGTGTGGCCTCTCGTTTGTTGTTGAAGCCTGATGAAAACGTTTGTTTGCGAGTACTTTTATCCCTTGTTTTATTTATTGTAATAAATGATTTTATACACGGAGGTGGCGCTCTGTTCCCTTTTGTTTTCTATGTCCAGTGTAATAGGGACAAGCACTCAGCATAATTATCATAAAACAGGATTTCTTCAAGTCCATCCAAGTACCCAGCACCGACAAGATGTATAGGACTCCTGCTCTTGGGAGCATCTTTTAAGAGATTGGGAGGAAGAATTTCCCCAACTCCAGAACCGAACTTTTGAGCCACCAGGGTACAAACAATCTGGTCATCAGTGTCAGGCAAATGTATTTTGCCTGACACTGAAGTATTCCCTCAATAGGAGGTTGTCCAGATATCCCACAATGGAGATAGATGTATGTATGTATTGTACAGGATGCCAGGGTTGAGACCTGGAAGTGCGCTACATTTCCCTCTGTTTGGGTTGTGGTCCTTTTAAGGGGCAAATAAATATTAACTCACATATAGGAGGAAGTGTGTTTAAAAAGACAGGAAGCTCTAAACAGCAGATGAGAAGTAGTAAGAAGTTAGTATAGACAGACTGGGATCTGATAAGCTGTTTGTTCTGTGGAATTGCTGAACCCTGCTGGGAGCCTGATGGGCCTGGGACTGTT